TGTTTGTTGAAGTTATCTAAAAGTGTGTTTGTGTTTGTAAAAAAATGATTCGAATTATCTTCGATGTGCACCAATATTTTTATCGACGGTGATTTGAGCCATAATATGATGGATGAGGTTAGCATATGAGCGAACATTCTCTCATATTAATAATGAGTAGAAGGACCCATGATGTAACTCTCCCAAAAAGATGACTCTTAATAACTCTATATCTACTCTTGAAATTTGATCAATCTTAATAGTCAATCTTTAAAAATATTCTTTAAGTGAATCTTCCTTATTTAGACGAATTCTATAAAATTGAGAAGAGTCTATGACAATCCTCTAATTTGTTATAAACTGTTAAAAAAACCTAGCAAGTTCCTCAAAATTATGAATAATCCCTAGCGAGAGAGAATAAAATCAAGTAAGTACTTGAATTTTGAGGCTGGTAGAAAAACTTGACAGAGGAGCACATGAAAGTCTCATTGCATGTGCATGATAATTCTATAGTGATCAATGTATTCATTCGGGTTTGATATGTTGTCATATGAATTAATATTTATGAGCTTAAATGTTGGTAGAATGGGGTGTTGGAGGACCATCTTATCCAAAGGTGAAGAGTCATGAGAACTACATCAAGCAAAGAAATTATTGTTGTCCCTTAAAAAGAATTCTTCTTGTACTATAAGTTATTGCTCATCATAAATTACATGATAGGTTAAGCAAATTCTCCAAAAATGTTTGAGGTCTGTAATTTGGTTTGACTGCTTGAGATGGATGTGTGAAACTAACATTATTCAGTATGTCGCCTTGTTAACCCGATTAGGGAATAACTCTAGCATGAGGATAAGTTGCAAGAGGAGCATTCTTTATATTAGTATTTCTGATTAGTGGTTGATCTTGGGGTAGATGAACCTCTCTCATTTGTGCTAACGTAGTTGCTGAGCTTTACATAAATTCTAAATAACCTGATTTTGATATTCCTCCATTATTCATATGTGATATTCTAGGAGCAAAGAGGAGATATCTTCACTAGCAAGGTGGTGCCCCTTTGGGGAAGAAGATGTAGAGGTTTTTCGTCTTTGATATAGAGATTGTATCCTATAAAGTTTGCTATTAGGGTGTAGGCTCCATTGTTATGTGAATTACACTTCTTAGCCATTGAAAGTGTGTTCACATTCATAAAAAAGTGAGATTTTATTTCCCACAAATTATACCAAACTATCACGTGTTAGAAAATTCTCAAAGACAGATAAATCTCATATCTCAGCTCAATATAATTTTTCAACACACACACACACACAAACACATATATAAGAGAGAACCATATTTTATGTGTGAAACAACTCCTAAAAAAAGAAAAGAATCACGAGGCCTAATTCAATCAAAATACTCAACTTAAATTTTGAATGTATAGGGGGTTCATTTTTCTCTCATATTAGGTAAGATGAGACTACAAGATAATGTTGGTGATTGCAATAACAGTAGTTGTTTATAAAAGCCGAACTTTGTTGTTAGAATGGTTATGTCAAGCATTAGTAATTTACTAGCCATGGATGATGATGATGATGACCTTTGGTGGCCGATGACAAACATTGGTGGTCGGCGACAAACTTTGGTGTGATAACCCCAAGACTTAAAGAGTTAAGTTAGTAGCCAGCTCACTGTCTCCTCCCCCTCCCTCTCTCATACAACTTGAGAATGAGGGTCTATTTCTAATTTTTTATAGGGGCATTTTAGTAAATTTGATCATCTCCCAAAACGCTTTATTAGGCAGTTCTTGTCGTGAAAAACGATGACAATAAAACGAAATTTGGAACGAAAAATTCACAAAACAGAAAAGAACACAACGAAACACACAAATTTACGTAGTTCGATAATTTGTGGACTTCCACCGAATTACAGAGGATTTTATTAGCTTTGAGGAATTACATCCGTCGATCACCTTGACGATTACAAGAAAACACTCTTTATCTTCCTCTTTCTCTCTTCACCTTCCCTCTCTATCTCTTCCTCTCTATCTCTCTCTACCACGTAGAAGAAAACAAAAGGGAGTTGCAGCATTGCGATTGTTCCTTCCTTCGAGTGAGCCAACCGAGGAGAAAAAAACAGGAGTAGAGACCTGCCTTGCGATCTCTTCCTGCATCCATATATATAACTCTCTCTGTTCGGCCCAATAAGGAAGCGCCATAATTTGCGATATTAGTGAAGCGGGAGAGTGGGAAAATCAGGCTAAAGAATTTCGGTTTCTTGCCTTATTTCGCGCACAAAACATGACGGGAGAGCAGGAGAAACTAGATGGAAAGACATCAGGAAATTAAGTGCTTTTAAATACCTTCCATAAGATGCATGAAATTGCTAATGCAGGAGGTGGACCAGACTCCACCTTCTCAACAGTTCACATTTAATCTCTTCATCACATGTTGTTTTTAACATTTATTTGTCTTAATGACTTAAGTGAATGTATTAAATTGGTTGGATTGTTCTCATCAAGCCGCTCGATTTTACTATAAGTATGCCAAATTTTAAGATCGTATAGCCTTTCCATTGATGCACTGAAACCTTAGGATACACTTTAAATATTTGATTTAAGTTCTTGAATTGAATTAGTTTAAGTGTTATTGGGTTCATTTTGTAGAGACACTCAGTTTGACTACAAGCTTATTGAAATTGGGGTTCAGATACTCTTGAATTTTAATTTAGAATTTTTCTTGCTCAAAATGCTTCGAGATTCATGCACGATGATATGAATTTGTTGACGTCACATCATTTATAAAGTGAGCTTACTCATAATAATAATGTTTATTTATATTGTAATTTATTGATTTGTTTAGCTTCAAACTAAAATGATATTTGCCATACAATAATGTCAATAATGATATTACATTAAGATAGATGGAAAGAGTTGTATGTTATGCTTTTAATAAATTAGTCATGGCCAAGCATGAGGCCAATGCATCTTACCTTGCATGGAGGTTCTAAGTATTAGAAATAATATAAGTAAAAATAACTAAACATGCTATATTGAATTAAATTTACAATATAAATACAATTTTAATCATGCTAAATTTGTTTTTTTTTATTGCAATGGTTTGTAATGTAATTGTTGATGTCTCGTAAATGTTTAAATATTAAGCTTGATTAAAAATAATTTGTTATAGTTTTGATGTGTTTATAGTAGTGTGGTACAACTAGCGTGTAATTTTTTTTGTCTTATATTGATATAATATTTAATACGAATAAACTATTCAATAATGAAAAATACTAGCTTTATTTATCTTAATCAACTTAAGGTCAAGTGCGAGATGATTCTATGCTTGCAACACAATTTTGTTGTGAGCATATGTTATTGCTAAGATTATCATAATCACTTCACATGACATGTTGTTTGCAAATGATATTAGCTATGCTGCTTCATATCCATGATTGTCGAAGGGTAGTTTGGCACCAAACACCATCATTTTTGATAACTAGTATTCGATCTCCATCGTTCAACTAATATCCCGTAACAATTGTTGTTCAATCCCCAATATCTCGTCATCATTGTTTTATAAATTTTAACTAACTATCATTCATAGATTGTCATTATTTAATCATCGTCATCTGACTATCAACATTACTCGAGCCAACATTGTATGATTGCCATATTCACCTCCACCACCTTTTGTTCCGATACAATCATTGTTATCTAATTAATTATTTGAACTGTTAAAATACCTTAAAAAAATGTTTACATGAAATAAATAAGAAGTTGGAACATAAATCTCCTTTGTGTAATTCACAATTGGCAAAAAATTTTTAATATGAATTATGTAATGAGTAAAATAAAGCATTTATAATAAAATATTAAATATTTTAAATTAATTATTACAAATTTCGATATTTGGTGCTTTAAAAAGTCATTCATCTTACATTTATAATATAAAAATTGTAATTATTTGTATATCTCTTATAAAAACATATTTATTAACCTCAAGCTCATTATTGAAAAAAAAATAAATTTATTTTGACATCTTTATATAATTAAAAAATTAACCATTAGTAAAAGTAAATAATATTAACAAATAATTATTTTTTTAAATATTTCACGTTGTTCTTTATGTAAAATTGTATTATAAAATCGATTCAACAACCACGTCTCACAATATAAAGTGATTTGCTCCTCCTATTAGGGTTGTAAAAAAAATGCTCGTCGTTCAAGAAGAGCTTGTGTTCGACTCGTTACGTAGCTCATATCTGATTTGCTCATCAAGCAAATGAGCTAAAAATGAATAATTTTTTTGAGATTTAATTTTAAACGAGATGTGAACAAATGCTTGTTTGTTCATGTTCGACTTGATTTGACTCGAATTTATTAAAAATAAATAAAAAATATTAATATAATATTAATATATTAAAATGTTATATTGTATTTTAAAAAGTATTAAATTTTATTAATTTAAATAATTTTTGCGAGTATTACAAAAGGAAAATATTTTTTATTTGTTAGATATGTAAACACATAAAAATTAGGTGATATGTATTTAAATGTGAACAAACACTTGCTTCTTTAAGAGTTTGCTCAAAAATAATTTTGCTAGGTGGTCCCACACTCCCCATATATCGCATGACGGCCCATTTAGACAATCGTCTGGACATGTGGTCTACAACACTTAATATTTGCTCTATACTTAGCAACCCGTGGTAATAGTTGCTCTTCCTTAATGACCCTGTGGTCGTACTGCTCCCACTCTTCCTCTCCCTCATTTAATTGCACACCGTGAATTTGAGAAAAAAAACTTTGACTTATGCTCTATAAATAATGCATAGCAATCTGCAGAAAAATAGTTTCAAATCTTTTAAAATAAAAATTAAATTTATAATGTAGTCATTATGTTTGATTTATTAAATTAAAAAAAAATAAATTATATCAAATTAGAACAATAAAACATTCAAAAAAAAAGTTAAATATTTAAATATATATAAATATATGATCGTTTACGCCCCTAGCTCCACCTATAAATAGGTGATAAAGCGCCTAAAATATAGAGCAGATCCAATCGTTAGGGCTTTCAAGAGGGCGGCGTGAGGTTGCAGCCTGCTTTGCGTAGTGCCTACACAGCTGCGCGGTTTGATTTCTGGGGTTGCTGTCTATCTCCTTCGTGCGTTTTTTCAAATCCCTAGTTTTACAAGTAGTACCGGCGCGCAAGAATCGTGTAATCGGAGTTCCTTCTCGGAAACCCTTTCATCTGTTTGGGTAGGAGGGTGTTTCCTGAGACTGCTGATAAGGTTTGTCGTTTGATTTTTCTTATGGCTTTACGCTAGATAATTGAAAGTTTTTTTAATTTTTTTTATTTTTTGGGTTGGCCTGTTTAGTTGTTCATATGATTCATGAAATGACCATCATGGTGCCGTGGAACTCTAGGAATCTCCGTTGAGTTTCTTAGTTTCTTTCGCTACGATGGCTTCTTCTAGATAGCGAGATTCATCATATTTCGGTGATCGTAATTTGGATGTTGGTACGGTTCGTTTAAATGATTCGTAGCATCTGGTTTGCGAAAGAATTTCTGGTAGGCGGAGATTTTATGAAGAACCCTTTTTTGTTGAACTGAGCTGATTAATGATTCTATATACGAAGAATCTAGATTAGCTGTTTTCAAGAGAATTGAATCGGGAAAAAAAAATTGGGTGTTTGATATAAGTAGGGTTTGAGCATGCTATTATTGTACACACTTCTATCATTATCTCCCTCTTTACTGTTGTACACAAAAAACCTGTTATGCATGACATATACGGAATATTTATTCTTTAAAATTAGGCAGGAGAACTTTGAAAGTGTTTGAACGTGCCATTCGTAATATATTATCCAAGATTTTCATACCTCCCTTAAGTAATGCAAAGATGTGTATCACTCTATTGGATGATATCAATAAATATATATTTTTTTTGTGCTTGGTCATATGAACAAATTGTAGAATTTTTTTTTGATTGTGTAGTAGTTGGTAGAGGTGGAAACGTATTGAATGTTAAATAACAGAGAAATGCTCTGTTTGATGCACTGCAGTTTATTTAGATGCTCCAGCGTCTTTCTTGGAATACTTGTGTGTAGATTTTCTTCTCAAAAAAAGAAAAAAAAAGGAAAAAAAAAAGCGAGCTAAATTTGTGTTATTGAAATCCTTTTGGTGTTTTTGATATATACTTCATGTTTATCCCACTTTCCATCGAAATATAAAGTAAGTCTTTTCTTACTCTTTTTAATGGTTTGACAGCATTATGAAATATCCTGCTATGTTGGAGGCCATTCCTCCAACTGGAGTTTTATTATAGAGATCTACATATTTTACATACTAACATGTTTGTGCTATTTTATGGTTTTGGCCTTTAAAGGAACATCAGTTTGAAGATATGCTAGGTGGATTCAAATTTGTTAAATGTACTTTGAGTTACATTTAATAGTGTTGTTTACTTTCTTATCGCATCCAAAAACATAATAGTTTTGTCTGTTGGAATTGTTCTCTAATTGTTCATGTTATTTAAAGTATTATACTTGATGAATATAGTCATTGTTCCCTTATTCTTGCTTGTTTTATGGTAATTTGAACTGGTAATTATCATTAGTAATTCTCAAGTGATTTATATCTTACTTAATTAATATATTCATTGTTCCCATATTCTTTCTTGTTTTATGGTAATTTGAACGGGTGATTATCATCGGAAAGCGATTTATATCAAGTTTCTAAAGATTTTGAATTATTTGAAATCAAAAGTTGCTATAAATATCCAGATCATTTTCATTTATCAAGTTTTCTTTAGATGTTGGTTTTCAACTCCATAAGCATGTAATTATCCTGAACAGGAAGAATTAGCTCTGCATATATGATACCGGAGTCAACCAATAACAACGGGAAATGCAAATATTATTATCCAATAGGAAAATTGCAATCAACGACACTGAAATCTGAAATTGTAACTAGCGACAACACACTCAACTAGTGGTGGATCCTAGGGTGCTGGTGGTTGGTTAGTTGGGTTGGAAGGGTCTGCAGGTGATTGGAGTGGAGGTGTCAGGCGCTTTGGGGCAGCTGGGAGAGGTGGCAACATATAGGAATGGCTGGGACAGCAGGGTAACAACAACAGATAGTCGTAGGGACATTTTGGAATGCTGGGACATGTAAGGACAGCAATCCTCTTTGTGCGGGATGGCGGTAGCAGGCATGGAAGGCTCAGACGGCAATGACAACAAGTATGGGGGGTTGGAACAACGACGACACGATGGAGGGCTAGAACAACAGTGGCACCGAAGCTGGAGGGTTGGAACATCATCGACAATGAAAGTGGAGGGCTGGAACAACAACGACAGCGAAGTTGGAGGATTGAACAACACAGGTCACGAAGATGGCAGTTGAAATAGTGGGAAAATTGTAGAAAAACAATCACGGGCGGCTGCAACAGTGGAGGGCGACCTGGAGAGATGAGGGGAGGATGCGGAAGGGGAGGGAAGATAATAACCATATGGAGATCAAGATACAACCAAAACACTATCTGGAATCCTAGGGAAGAGGAGACACTGACAACTGTCGTGCTAGAAAACACACAAAAACTGGCCTAAAATATGATGAGAACAACATATATAATGCTAGGGTAAATAAGGGCCCATTTGGCGCAACTAATTTGGTGTGGCGGCGTTTCGAAAATGCACATGGTTTGTTTGGGTAAACTGCGTTTTGGCAGCTTATGCGTTTTCAAAATGCTGAAAAAAGTGTTTTCACACCACACCTATCTAGGTGCTGTGACAGCTTTCTGGCTGCGGTTTGAATTTTTCAAAAAGAATAAAAATTTGTAATACTCATCGCACGTAGCTTATCAGCAGATTATTTAATAAGCTACAACTGCGCCAAACAGACCCTAAGAAGTGAACCCCACTCCTATTAGGCAACAAATCCACGAACATGAAGGATTGGACCGCCCTCAACACTTGAGCCAGTCCAAGTTGCACGCGACTTCCCACGTCATCTAGGGTCGCGAGACGTGACTCTAATGTCGTCCGTCATCAGCGTAGGAGACGCCCCCACGTCAATATATTCATGCATGTCATGGAATACCTTTTACTTTTTTATAAAGGTTTTGGGGATCTTGCTAAAATGTGACATTTGACAACCCTTTGTGCTCGTTATTGTGAATGAATTATGTGAGAATTTTTCTTTGATGCTACATAAATGATAGAATCACATCTCGTTGTGCAGCATAACAAATTATAATTATGCCTTTTTGTAATCCTTTGTTATTATTAAATATTGTAAAATATATGAATTAAAAGGCATGTACTTTGCTTATTTATTGCTAGGATAATTATGCAGGAGGAAAATGTTTTAGAATAATCTATTTGGGTATATATCATCACACATTATCAGTAGCTTGAAGTTTATCATACAATGTCATGAATTGACGCCTAATATATTTTAAGAAACTATTCTGTGTTGATTTAATTTATAAAAATATGTCAAGTTATATTTCTATTAGATGCGGCATAATGGTATGCTATTGTTACCGAAGGCAACAAAATATATATCTATATTTAAAATGATGTAATTGCTTGTCGAGCTAAATTTTTTAAATTCATCATTTCTGATTGAATTACAATTTGTTTCGATGTGGTCTATTAAGCTATTAAGTTAGAATCAGTTTTCTTTGTTCGGCTGAACTTTACATTGGGTATGTTTGTTGGGCCCTAAACTTTTTATGTTTGCATGCAATTCTACTTTTTAAGATTGCGGGACTTTAAGATTGAGGATAGATAGCGATCCATGTTTTGTGCGTTATGCTAGTCATGAATTCCTGTGATATTTCATATCATCGTTATCCTGTAATAGTTATTTTGTAATTAATATTTTGTAGATGGCTGCTAATAAACTATCTACGGAGGCAATTGCTTTAACCGAGAAAAAAATGGACATGACGTTAGGTATGTTTCTCATTGCTTAATTTAGCACTTTGTTGTTATGAACCAAATCTATGTGTCTATAACTTGTTTTATTTATTTATTATTTATTTATTTTTGAACCCAGACGATATTATTAAAATGTCCAAGAAAGCTCCTTTTAAAGGCAAACAGGCTTCTAGGACTTCGGTAAGTTATCCTTTATTCATTGTTTTTGCTCCCACCTTTGATGTTTATTCAGCAGATTTTGTGGAAAAATTCTATTAATCTTATTCATTTCTTCCTGCTTAAAGAATAAAAATCAGGGGTTTTTGAATGACCGTGTTGCTCAACGTAATGCCAAAGTCCAGAGGTTTATGAATACAAGATCAGCCATTAGGCAGGCATGAATTAATATTTTTCATTATTGAATGTCTACTTGTCTGTTCCCTCTCCAGGATATACCTTATCATGTTATTGGCTCATTTTTTGTATGCCAGGGTGTGCTTGCTCAGAGACGAACAAACTTTAAAGGGAATCAATTCCCATTGACCACAGAGGTGGCAAGAAGGGCTGCTGTTGTGCCTATTCGCAATAGGGCAGTCAATCCAAGCAAGCAAAGGTTTTACTTGTTCCATACTTATTCTTCAACAATTGTTTCTTTTTTTTCTATTCGTTACTCTTAGATATATCAATATATATTATTTTCTGCAGGTAATTCATGGTTATTTATACAAATAATGGAATACTTGAAGCTACATCCATTTGAAATATGTATTCAGTGGTCATGTGTGAGACATTCGACTGCTTACTTGGCTGAGAATTCCAGTTATTCGATTCTTTTGTGTTTGCATGTTCTTCATTGATATCAGTATTGGCATTTGAGGCGGAACTATCCATCATGCATTATGTTGGATTAATTTAAGGTGTTGATGTTCAAAACTGAGTTGATCTGTTGTTTTGTGAATACATACCATACATTCATAGTCTCAAGTATCATACCTACAAGACCTACAGTATAAATTCTTGTATTCAAATGAAGAAGATGGATGAAAAATTGAACTTTAATGCTACCCACTCGAAGAGACAGATTTTGAGCCTAAGTTTGATGCTTCTGATTTGAAAAGTTTCTGGACGGGTTTACCGTTTTCAAGTCTGGAAGGAACTTTTTGCTCTTATACACAAATACTTTATTTTCGTGGTTTATCTTACATTTTTCAGAGAGCAGGTTTTATATTTTTGATATTTCTACTTTAGTTTCTTCTGGCCGGGTTTTCTAGAATTTTGCCAGATGTTTGCTGATTCTTTCCATATTGTATGTTTTCTGGGGTTTTGGCTTCAGTGAAGGATCTTATACAAGTCTACATGTCTGCCTACTATATTTGTCAGAATCTTGAGGGATGCATATGTGATCTGCAAGAAAAGAGCACCCGTATTTATGGCATGCCTGAAACACATGATGGTCTTTTAGCTTAGCTGTAGAGCACATACTGTGCATGGTTGAGGGCATTTAGTTTTGGTCCAGTACTTATGGAACTCTAGCATAGTCATTTACTTTTGAAGCTTCTCAAGAGGACTACATATTCTTGCTTGTCATTAAGTCTGCATTATTAATTCATACCCTTTGATTAAGCAATGGTATTAACTCATGAAATTGAGTTATTTGCTACTGTTTCCCTTTAGGATAAGAGACCTTAAATCCACTCATGATAAGTTTGGTTGCGTGTGGACAAGTTGGATTTTACTTTAAATTGTATTTGAGCATGCTCAGTTGGATCTAGAACACCTTGTACTGTATTCTAGATCTTCCCAACTTGCAGTTGCATCCATCAAAACAGCTAGGGAATTGCAGCACTCTGAATGATTTTGTGTTGCTCTTTTGATTTCTAATCCTTTGAGAGAAGGTTTTGTTTGAAAGAAAAGTTCCGTGCTAAGCCAACGCCAAAAAACGGGTGAATTTTACTGACCATTTGCGTTGCTAATAATCTCGAGAATTCAAATTTGTTCACATGCTCTTGGTTTGAAGCGATGGCCGTTATAGAATTATGTAACTTTGAAGGCACATGGGAGTTGCAAAGCATTCAAGGGATGTCAGGGTGGTTTTCTTTGTGTGGCATTCCTATTTAATATTCTTCCAATTTATTGTGAAACAACAAATTATCAAGGAATGTTGGTTCCTGAAGGAGCAGATTTTATTGCTGGTGTTTTTAGCCTCTTCTATTGGGATCCTATAGGGGCACCCCACACTATCCATTGATTTCCTTTTCAATCCGGCACATAGAGCACAATGGTCTAGCAGCTAATAATTTTATATATTATATTAATAAATTTTTACTTTTTCCAGTGAAGGTGGTAAGTTTTCTGAACTTCTGACTGGCTTTACTTGTTGTACCTGATTGTTGGAGCGCATTCTCAATTAGTTATGGAAGTCTGGCCTGGTAAACTTTATTTCTATGGAAATGACTAGTTGTGTTATGCAGGGTTGCAGCTATTCCAATTCGAAGAAATGCTGGTGATGGCAATTTTGCTGGAAAGGTGAGGAAGACCTCCTGTTTGACATATCTGGGTTGTGGCATCTATTTATTCTTTTGCCTTTTACTTCTCATTTAGTTCCTTTTGGGTAGAAAACGTGCTTTAATAATGACAATTTTTGTTGCACTCATTTTGTGTGAAAATAAAATCATTCTTATTAGTTTGAAGTGTTTTTGGAGTTCAAAAGCAATATTTTGTTCTAATTAAATCTTACTAAAGTGATAGAATCTAGCAAAATTCACTGATTTTGAAAATGATGTTAACTTTATGTAACCAAATGACTCTGGGATACCTTTTAGCTATGTAGATTGGGAAGTGGCTTCAGCGGATAAGATTTTGTGGCATGCTTTAATAATGATAATTTAGGTTGCACTCATTTTGGGACACCTTTTAGATATGTAGATTGGGAAGTGTCTTCACATGTCTGGGTTGTGGCATCTATTTATTCTTTTAACTTCTCTACTCGGGCCTCATGTAGTTCCTTTTTGGTAGAAAACGTGCTTTAATAATGATGATTAGGTTGCACTTATCTTGTGTGAAAATAAAATAGTTCTGCCTAGTTCGAAGTGTTTGTGGAGTTTAAAATCAATGTTTTGTTCTAAATACATCTTACTAAGTGATAGAATCTAGCAAAATTCACTGATTTTGAAAGTGTTGTTTTCTAACTTCATGTAACCAAATGACTTTGGGATACCTTTTAGATATGTAGATTGGGAAATGTCTTCAGCGGATAAGATCTTGCAAATGATAAAGAGAAAAGATGGAGAAGATTTTAGGGTTAACTACAACTCTCTACTCAACTCCTATAAAATTCATTACATATCAGCTTTTATCTCATATTTACATTATGGTACCCATCATCACCTACTTAATGAATTTAAGCTAATTATCTACTTCATGGGTACTATGATGTGTTAGATCCCAAAAAACGAAACAAATATGAAGAAGGGAGGGTGGGAAGAGGGTTTCAAGTTTTCAGCCACATATGTCTACGGAAGCCTGGATTTGTCGGGTAGAATTTGGGTCAAGTTAGCGTCTTGGATTAATTTTTGAAATTACTGCACAAGTAAGAAACTTTTGCAACAGAGGAGAGAACAGATGGAGGAGTTTTTGCAATCGAGAATAAAAGATGATAATTGCACGAGCAATAACTTCATCTCTACCTTCAATCCTTGTTTCCAAGGCAATTGGCTACCTATGATGCTTAGACTCGAACATAGGGACACAAAACATGACACGATACATATACATGACATGATTACTATTGAGAATACATGATACAAACATGTGATGGATACAACATTATAACTTTTATATTTTAAAAATTGATTTGGGATTCTTAGTCAAGACTGGGAGAATAAATATACTATAATCTGTAAATTATTTTTTCATAAATTTTTTATTCAAGATATTAAGATGTGTATCCTAAAATGCTAAAACCACGTGGAACACGGATTCAAAATCGAGAGATTATTAAAAATAATTAGTAAATGTAATATTAATTATAAAATTTAAAAGCCCATTTTATTAAGGCAACCATGCAGTATGAATATGGGTGGAAGAGTGAAATGGGCATTATACTAAATTACATCTTAAACATTTGGCAAATGATTATTTTAATATTAGATAAAGTCGGTTTGTTATATGTATTGTAGGAATATGGAAAGAATATTATCCAAAGACAAAATTGGGATTGTAAATGTTAAAAATATATAATTAATATTATTATATAAACTAAAAAAAAAATATATATATATTTTTAAGATATTAGGATGTGCTTGTTCGGCGTCCTACTTTAATTACTAGGAGTGTCGGTGTATAATAAGTGGATGCATTCCTCTATCATTAAGAAGTGAATATCTCTATTCTTATTTTTGTCTGTATAAAAAAAAGTTCTTTGATATAATTTTTAAAAGCTTAATGGTTTCATGGGCTTATGTTAATATCACCAAATCTTGTAAACTTGCTTCTTTTGATTGTGCTCTTGGTGTGTTTATGGTTCATCTTCAACAAATTTTGTTAGCGGTTCTATCATTATCTTAATGACTTATCAAAACTATGGTCTAAAAGATTTCGGGTTTGAGCTTGGAGAACGAAAATGCCTATTTCAACAAATTTGATGGCTAAGATTTTGTCCTTTGGAATATGCAAATAGAAGATTATTTATCAAAGAAAGTTTCATAAAATTTTGAAGGGATCAAAACCTTACACTGTTAATCAAGATTGGTGACTGTGGATGGATTGACAAGCACTAAGAGTTATTCGCCTATCATCCCAGATCATGAATATTAGTTTCAGCCTTTCAATGAGAGGACCATAACAGGCTCGATGAATGCGTAATTAGATATGTACGAGAAATCTATTTGCTATTGATAAGCTACATCTTTATAAATTTCAGTATTAGGTTGTTTGAAGGAGCTTTTGCTGTTGATCATATCAACGAGTTTAGTTCGATCATTTACGGACATCAACTTTAATAATGAAATTTATTCATGTACATCTCAAAGTAATGGTGTTGCAACAACTGTCAACAACTCTTATGGATAGGATAAATTGAATTGAATGTCAAATGCCTCATCCTTAGTTAAGATATTAGATGACCAGAGTTAAAATTTTTTCTAATTTGAATATTGATTATAGGAGCATGTCTCAAAATACAAACAATTATCAAGTTAGTTAAATTCAAATCAATAATTGAAAGCCAACACACATGTTGTAATAGAAGCAAATCTCAAATTTGTTGGGGGTGGATGCTTGTATTGTGAAGTGTTGCAAAAGAAAATGTGAAAGAGGACAAAAACTGGGAGAATGAATTTTGGATGTTGTTATGACAAACATTCAAGATGACATGCATCTTCAAGGCTAATAATCTAATTGAATTATAGCTATTTGACTTAGGTGGATCATTTTATTCTTCTTATAAAGAATTAATCACATTATGGTAGACCAACACCGTCCACATTGTGCTCCAATGATTCGATGTCGAGCCTGCCAAATCATTTAAAGCTTTTTGTTAGGCGCAAGATTGATTGGGCAATTTAGTCATTTGTTAGTTAATTATTGTGGGGTATAAACAAGGCTTAATATGCTTAGGATTTGGTTATGTGATTGTTGTTTTGAATCTTAAGGTTAGGGTTTGGGAGATAATTGCCTGCCTCTTGATATTGGTTTAACCTTTATGTATTTGGAATAGTTTAATTTTGATTTGGTACCAAAGGATTAAAATCAAATATTTTTTGCTATAATTTATGCAAAAATGGCTCATTCTTATTAAATTGGTATCAGAGCAAGACATCCTCCTCATCTTAGCGATAGTTTGGACTTCGTAATGCTATGTCGTCTTCGTGAGCCAATATTTGGATTGTGGCGTTGCCTTCATGATTCGAGCTAGCTGTGAAGCCAACGACAGGATCGTAGTGTTGCTTTCGTGATCAAAACTCATGATACTGTTACTATTTGAGCTAGTTGGGAAGCCAACAACAAAATCACTGCATACAATAGTTCCACCTTGGTGATCGAAACTGTCATGGGAGTAATGTTGACCGAGAAAGTAGATATGCTTTAAAAAAGAGATTAGAGAGATGTGAGTCAAGTCAGATATGGAATGGAGGCTCATTTCTTCTCCATGGAGGGGATCAAATGACAACACTGGAGCAGACACGAGCTACATTTAGCGGAAGGATTCACATGACATAAGGGTAACATCATTTGCCTTACATGGATATGGAGCTGCGAGATCGAGCGGAAATATCAAGAGCAAACTAGAACAACATCACTTAAAAGGAATCACACGACATCCAGACGATTGGAATGAGTGGTAGCAAGTAGAAAGAGATAAAATGCGATTCAAGGCTGAAGAAGATCAATTCAAAGGATTTCAGCCTGAAATAGGGAGCCACAGTGGGTGGGACCCCAACAGAGAGCTGCATCCAACTGTATAATGCCTTTTGTTGCGACAACTTTTCTAGTGAAAGATGATTCAGGAGCCTATGGGGACGAGCGAAAGATGATTCAGGAGCCTATGGGGATGGACGAGCTAATTATGGGATGAGTCAAACTTATGGAAGAAAGGAAATCTATATGGGTCGAGGAAGTGAACCCAACCTTCGCTTCATTGGCGGAATGAATTCCTGTTGAAAAAATTGGGGAGGAGACTCACACATTAGGAAGTTAAAGATTAACAGGGAGGAAACTCGTGTATTAGGAATTTGAAGATGCCGATCTTTGAAGGAGATGATGTCTCACATGGAGAGATAGTTTGGTGTTAATCGACAAACAAAGGAAGAAAAATTGATGCCAATAGTTTTGTTTAAAGGAAAGGCTCTAGCCTGGTATGAACTAAGAGAACGCTAGCTAATCACAACATGAGAAAACTTCGAAGGCCGATTGTTCAAGCGTTTAAGAAACTTGCGGGAAGGGGATTTACACAAGTAGTTTTTTGCATTGGTCCATGAAGGGTCTGTCATGAATTATGGACAGAAATTTGAGACCGACCATTTGAGAGGAATGCATTAAGTTGTGTTGGAAGGAAACTTATTGAAAGAGTTGAGGCAAGAAATTCAAGTAGCGTTTCGTCTGTTGAGATCACAAGGATTAGAGAAAACTATAGAATTATCACAGTTGGTTGAAGATAAAAATACAATGGAATGGGCTAATAGAAGCAACAAAAGTGGAGCGCCCTACTGAATTGCTACAATCATTTGATACCAAAAATTCAAATAATGGGATTCCAGAGGCTCCATAGGACAAGAATAACGGGTCATGACCTGGGGCGACATCCAAGCAGCTTACAAAGATAGAAATTCTATCCGACCATTTGAGAATAATGGGTCACGACCGGGGACTGAAATTTGAGGTGCTATCCAACCATTTGAGAGGAATGTATTAAGTTGTGTTGGAAGGAAACTTCTTGAATGAGTTGAGGCAAGAAATTCGAGCAGCGTTTCGTATGTTGAGATCACAAGGATTGTAGAAAACTATAGAATTACCACAATTAGTTGAAGATAAAAATGCAATTGAATGGGCAAATAGGAGCAACAAAAATGGAGCGTCCTACTGAATTGCTACAATCACGTGATACCAAAATTCAAATAATGGGATTCTAGAGGCTCCACAGGACAAGAATAATGGATCACGACCGAGGGCGACATCCAAACATCTTACAAAGATAGAGATTCAAAAGAAGTGAGCCAACATGTTATGTTTTCGATTTGTCAAGAATTTTGCTCTAATACACTATTGCAAGATTAGACTTCACAGGTTCTCACATGTGTAATGAGGAGGCAGGGCATGAAGAACTAGAGGGTTGTGGTGGAGGAGGAATATTTTCACTTGGATGTGATAAAAGTCTCATTTAAGACAGTGGGGCTAACACCAAACCACACTATGAAACTTCGGGGACAGAGCAAAGGGCAAGACATATTGGTGTTGGTAGATGGTGGGGCCACCCACAACTTCGTCCCTACTAAAGTAGTGAAGTAATTGGACCTTGAGATGGTTGACACATGAAGTTTTGGAGTCATGATGTGGATGAGACAAGCAGAGAAGACTGCAAGGTATTCAGGTGATGGAGTATTTTCTTCCTTTGAATTGAGGGAGGATTGACGTGAAATTGAATGTGAAATAGTTTTAGTCCTTAGGGGAGATTAAGATGAATTGGAAACTCTTTACAATGGAGTTCTAGGAGGGAGACAAGATGCTGGTGTTTCACGGTTGCTGTAGTTTGGACAAATTCTTGGTGAAACTCACGATCATGGTTAGGGCAATACAGGACACAAGATTAGGATTATTGATCGAGTTGTAGAGCCTGGAAGAGACACATGACATAGAATTGACATATATTTCGACACCGATTCAACAACTCCAACAATTTGCAAAAATTTCTTGGTTGCCAAATGGATTTCCATCTTATAGGGAGCACAGGCATACAATAACCCTGAGATAGTGAGTTTCTCTCATTAGTGTGCACCCATACCACTACCCCCATGGACAAAAGATGAAACTGAGGGGTTGATCTTACAGATGAAGGTCGAGATCACAGAACCTTGTGTGAACCTCTTCTCTATCCCAATCTTGCTATGAAGAAGGATGAGAGTTGACATTTATGTGTGGATTATTGGGCGGTGAATAAGAAAACAATACAAATTTCTCATCCAGATGATCGATACTATATGAGTTTGGGGTTGCAATATTCTCCAAGATTGACTTGAAGTCAAGATACAATCTCATTCCGATGTGGCTAACAAATGTGCACAAGACACCATTTTGAACTTATGAGAGTCATTATGAATTTATATTTATGCCATTCGAGCTCACAAACACATAAACATTTATATCACTAATGAACAAGGTGTTTCGGCCTTTTCTCCAGAAGTTTGTGTTGGCTTTCTTTAACTAAATCTTAGGATACAACTACTCCATGGAAGTCCACATTTCTAGCACCAGCTCAATGCCAACTTAAAAAAGAGGTATTTGTTTGACCAACCAAATGTTGGGAGAGATGCGAAAAACTATTCGAGAGATTCGAAACAGAACTTAGAACAGAAACACACAAAATAAGAAATCACAGAAAATACAAATAACATTAGGATTTAATATGGAAAAATCCGAGAACACGAAAAAAATTACAAAGCCACACCACATGCCTAGAAATTCATGATGAAGAAAATAAGGAGAATAATATAAATTATACCACAATCAAGCCTCCCCACATTTGTAACTCAAGAACACATCTTTCTCCCTTTAAGCAAGAGAAATTGAAATCCCTTCATCAACACGTACGTTCGATCGATAGAATCAAATCTTAAATAAGAAAACTACACAAATATTGTTACTTGTGCCAGGGAGCCACGAGAAAGTGTTGCATTGTCGTGCTATTGAGAGCTATCAGTCTTTGTGCTGGGGCATCGTTGCCTCCAGGTGCTGGAGTGTTGTGCTTTCATTTTTGAACTTGTATTGGATGCTACGACGTCGCCTTGTGGGCGCTGAGGCATTGTGTACAATAAAAGAAATTTATTGTGGGTCACCTTCTAACCCCCTCTCTCACCGTCAAGCTTGATCGGCGTAATTGAGGGTTTTGAGTGTCCAATTGATTAACTCATTTAGGTTCCACATAATAGCACCGAAGGTGTACTTAGTCATGTGGTATCAGTTGCAAGAATGTTGACAAATCTCGTGAAGGTGGTAGTTATGTTGGATTGGCTACTACCTAATACCTTGAGCGAGTTGAGAGGATTTTTGGGACTTACAAGATACTATTGTAAGTGAAGGGTTACAATTCGATTGCACAATTGAGACGTGCTATTGTTGATGTGTCATCCTCTTAAGTTTCCCCTACTTTGATGGAGGATATGAAACTTAACTTGGAGCCACTCGAGTTAAAATGGGTGTGCTAGGAATCTACTTGTGGGAAAGAAGTGTTGATTAAATGCAAATGATTGTCAGATTATCATACCATGTTGGAGTCTTATGACTTAATCCAACGACAGTTTCCTCTATTACATGTTGAGACAATGCCTTTTTTGGAAGGGGAGTAATGTTAGACCGACACATACATGGTCGTCCGCCTCATGCTCTAGTGAATCAACGCCAAGCCCCTCAAATATTTTGAAGACTGATGTTAGGCGCAAGACCAAAATGGTAATTTAATAATTTGTTAGTTATTATTGTGGGGTATAAATATGGCTTAATATGTTTAGGATTATGCTGTGTTGTCTTGAATCTTAGAGTCAGGGTTTGGGAGAGAGTTACCTAGTCATGAATTATAGATTTATATTTTATGTATTCCAAATGTATTATTTTGATTTGGTATTGGCGGAATGAAATCTAGTACTTCTGTTCTAATATTTGTGGAAAGTTGTCTCGTTTCTACCACAATAAGGGAGCTATGACAATTTTTATTGCTGCTGATGATGTCATAAATATTGTAGACATTGATCTTGTGATACTCTAAATTATAAATGCAGACACATGGAAGTTTAGTAAGGTCAGACATATTTGGCTCAAGGAAAAGTTTGATTTATGTAATGACAAATTGTAACAAAAAATACGTAATCTCATTTTTAGTGCTTATATCTAGAAGATGAATAAAGGAGCTATTGTGAGTGCTCTAGAAAATTATATTGATACCCTATGTACCATTACAAATATTGAAAAAGTGAGTGCTACATGTTTGATTGTATAGATTAATATTTGGCATGAATGAATCGGCTACATGTTTGAAAAGGGCTCGAAGATTCTTTATTCTCAAGGCAAATTTTTTAGATTTTAAATATTTTAAATTTAATTTCAGTGAAGGTTATATTTTATTAAAGTACAGGCAGATTTCAAAAATTGGAAGAAAATTTAAAACCAAGAAGCTAAAATTGGTTCACATAGACGTTTGGGGCTCAATGTTTTATTTCAAATTTATTGATGACAGCACTAAAATGTTTGATTTGTGTAAGGAGAAGTTGCAACAACAGGATGTAATGTCATTTTCACTGCTAATATTTAGAAGATGATTAAAGGAGCTATTATGGTTGCTCTAGGAAATAATATTGATACCCTATGCACCACCACAAATATTAATACCCTATGCTTTATAGTTGTTGGCTATGTTTTCTTTATCCTTGACATAGAGACTCGTAGAAAGTAATATCTTTATTTTTATTTTGTTTATGTATGGAAATTTTTTTGATGCACTTATATTTTAAAGGTTAGTGGAATATTTGATTTCCGTGGGACTATGGACATAGGCGAGTATTTTGGAATCACTTAAATTTTTGCGTTTTATGGTTGTGATCTTTGGTCTGTTTATTTTTTATCTTTATTTAATTTGGTCTGCCTTTCTATCACTATCTTAATAGTTTTTTACCAGGCATTTGATTTATTCACAAATTGATGGATGCTTCTTATGTTTCGCTAAGCTTCTTTTTTTTTTTTTGAAGTGCCGCCGCCCTATTGGTATCTCTCACAAGCGCTCTTATTGGTAGAACTCTTATAATGAATTCTTTGTAGAAAATTCTGTAAGTTCCCCTCAAAAACATAGGTTTCTTTGCATCAAACCTGGTGGATTTACTGAGCAAGTATCCATCAACATTAGTGATTTGCTCTTTACTGCAAGAAGAGTTGAGCTAGCTGTAGTCTGTATGACTGGCGCAGGCTTGTTTTCGTGATATACAAGAAACTCAATTTCAAAATATCTGTCGTGGCTTGTTATAGTCGCGTTTCATGGCTCGTCTAGTTCTAACTCATAATCCTTAACATCTTTTTGTGTATTTTTCTTTGTATTATTGTTGTGTTTGCGACCCGTAGTGGGATTAAGACTTTGTTGTTGTTGTTGTTATTGTTGTATTGTTCTGTTTGCCCCTCTGATGTTATTTTTCATGAAAACCACATGCAGAAGCAAACTGCGAATAACAAGCAAAAACCAAGGACCTTGGATGCTCTCTTTGCAGACATGAAGGAGGAGAGGATGAGAACTATTTCCCAGCAGCAGGTGGGGCGTGGCCGCGGTCAAGCCGGACAAAGACGCGGTCGTCAGAACCAACGGCAGAGAGGATGGATCGGGGCAGCAAGTGGCAGTTCCGCTGTTCGATATGGGACTCAGTTTGGCAATTCTGGAAGATGAAATAACTGAATCCTGTTGAATGCCTTCTGAGGCCTTACACCATGGGGCCAATTTCATGCTGGACTGCACAGATCTGTTACTGGTCAGTTTCAACATTTTCTTCTATGTTAGCACTGTTGTGATTTGCAGGTTTGGTTTGGTATTCCTTATTTTCGATGGACTAAACTTTTTTTTTTTTTTTTCCTTTATAAACATATTTGTAGAAGTTTGAGTTGCAATTAATTTCCAGTTTTCTTTCACTCAATGAGTATCTTATACATATCAAGCCGAACTCGAACGTGTTCAAGTTGATGTTGAATGAGTTCAAATTTAGATCAGGTTCAAGCAGGCTTGAATTTGAATATTGTATTCATAGGATTTTCAATTAGATTATTGATGAGATTTTATTAATTGAACTTTTTCATTCTAGATATAGGGTTTAGACTATGTTATGTCTAACTTTCATCCTGTTTTAACCTGCATCATTCATGTCTTTTATATTTAACGACCGTTCCTCGCAGCTATTGTTCCAATAATTTTTATTGCGAGTTCCTTCTGTGAAGTTGCCTTCATTGATAGCACTTAAAAGTGGATATAGACAGCATTAATTAGTGAAGATGAGTCCTAATTAAGTTTTCTTTTAAAAAAACTATTTTGGTGAGATTGAATCTTATAATTGCAACAAAATTGTGCTAGTTAAGATGTCTGGATTGTTTAATATTGAGATATACTTTGTACAATAAAATTTCATCCATTGAATGTGGTAGAAAGGAGTTTCGAAAATAACATCAAGTATGGTAGAAAGGAGTTTCGAAAATAACATCAAGTATCCCCCTCCCCCCTCCCCCTC